CCTTAAGAAGTTTTTCACTAAAATTTAATAAATCAATTTGAAGTTATAAAAATTTTATTACAATTATTAATAGGATCCCTGGTATACTCTATCTTAAAATTTTTGCTTGCAGTAATTGCTACATTGCTACCGGGATATTTTTTTAAATAAAAAAAATATATTACTTTATTAATATGACAAACTGACATTTTTAAAATTAATTTTATAATTATAGTTTTATTAATTTTATGTTTATAATTCACTCTGTACACAACTTTTTTAATTAACTATTTCAAAATTTACAGATTACAGTAATTTATGAGAACCTTGTATATTCCTGTTTTTAAATTTTCAAATAAAATTTTGGCTATATTTTTTAATTGGGACAATTATTGAACAAAAAATAAACAAACAAAAAATAATAATTTTTAAATATAAAAAAATGCCATTTTAAATTTTTATGGTTAACTCTGTATACAGCGTACGCCAGAACTCACGCCCTAGAGAAAATTGCCATATAAGGTAAGATACCAGGAACATGGAAAAAATGTTAACAAAATTTTATCTATAAAAATTTCGAAGTTATGAGCGTTTAAATTTTGTACATTGACTTTATTTATTTCTGTTGGAAAAAAAATTCCCAGTTTTTTTGTTAAAGGCTATTAAAAGAGGAATCAAAGAAGCTGTATCCTAAATTGTAACTCTGTTCAATGTTATTTGTGGCTTTTATTAGCAAAATTTTTGTCCCTTTACTAAATAATTGAAAAAAAACATATACAAGATGATCATCAGTATCATTAAATAGATATAAAAAAATGTCAAATGTCAAAAAATAAATGTCAAAATTTTTTGACAGAGAATTTTTTAAACATTTTTTTCATGTTCCTGGTATCTTACCTAACCTTATTTTCTCTGGGGCGCGAGTTCTGGCACACCCTATATAATGTTTTACATTGAGTATTTTAAAATCTAGTAAAAAATAAAATATCTGCGGTATTTAAATAAGAAGTGAAAAAAATAATGAAACAATAAACACTTATTACCTTATTAAGACCACAACCTGACATGTTTAAAATTTTCATGGTTCACTCTGTATATAATTTTTTAAATTGAGTAATTCAAAATCTATTCTCTAAATTTAAAATCTATGGATAAATATAAAAACATAATATTTTGTTTATTTAAATAAAAAGTCACACATAATTACGTATTAAGCATAACTAGTATACAGTCTGTTCAAAAACTAACTGAAAAATTTCAGTTTTAGCAAAGTTTTTTAAGAAAATTTTATAAATCTGGTTTTAATAAATTTAAAAATCTAAAATTAAAATTTTGGTTATTTATTAATGACTTGACTTGATCTAACCTGACCCGATCTAGATGTCTTTGGATAAGCATATTTTTCAAATTCTATGTTTTATATTCAAATTTGGATCTAGCATCTTCTTTCTTCTCCCAATATTGACAATTTTTTGTTTTCCTCCCATTTCAGACGTCGACTACGACCTCCTCCCACCCCAATTCGCCAACAAACGCGCTATCACGATGTTCTCCCGTTGGAGTCCCATCAGCTCCATCGGCAAGCAAAGAACTCCAATTCGCAGCAACCCCAACACGTTTTCCTCCCAATCCCGAGACCGACAGCACGGCCAACCACTACGATGGGGTTAAACGGAGCGTCGCGACGCTTCCCGACGCCATTACGACACACATTCAATTAAAAATAATTTTATCTTAATCAAAAAAGTACATATATCAGGCCTACATCCGCCAACTTTACGCCCATCAACGGCTCTACTTTCCATAAATATATACACAGTGTCTCGAATAATGGCCGGGAAAGTCGTCCATTTTACACAAAGACTGCGGTGATTCGAATTTTCATTTGGTCCTTGAGTTGATTGTCAAAAATTGTGCAATAATGATGTATATGCATGTGTTTTGTTGGACTTGTGTATAATTTATTAAGTGTTTTGTGTTTATTGCTATGTATTGTTATGTCAAACGTTAAATAGAGAATTCCAAAAAACCATATTTGATTATTTATCAATCCACAACTCGCTAAAAATAATCCCCACTCCACTAAAACACTTATTTAAGGATTGAAATTCAAATTTGGCGCCAATTTCATTAAAGCACTCGTTTTAATTTCTCAATTTCAGCGGTTTCCTGTCACGGAAAGTGGCTATTTTTAGCGTCATTCGAATGCTGTAATAGTGTAGATGTTATTCCCCTTATTTTTAACTCAATACCAACCTTAAAAAAACAAATTTAAAAAAATGTTTTAGATTATTTTTTAACTAAAAACCCGCAAAAACCACCAAAAAACAATTCCCACTTTACTAAGACACTTATTTGAGTTTTGGAATCCAAATTTGACACCAATTTCATTAAAGTACTCGTTATATTTTTGAACTTTGGCGGTTTCCTGCCACGGAAAGGGGCCATTTTTGGTGTCATACAAATGCTGTAAAAGTGTAGATGTTATTCCCCTTGTTTTTAACTCAATACCAACCTTAAGAAAACAGATTTCAAGAAATCATTTTTGATTATTTCTTAACTAAAAATCTGCAAAAACCACCAAAAAACAATTCCTATTCCACTAAGAGACTTATTTGAATTTTGGAATTCAAATTTGGCGCCAATTTCATTAAAGCACTCGTTTTGATTTTTGAATTTTAACGGCTTCTTGGCACGTAAATTGGCCATTTTTGGTGTCATTTGAATGTTTGAATAGTGCAAATGTTATTTAACTTACTACCAACCTTATAAAATTAAAAAATGGGCGTTTTAATGGTTTAACAAACTCAATTCCCTGTTGCGGTTTGCTTTCCCTAAACTCGAATCCGGGCACGAGTTTATCAAACACAAATATTAGGGAATGTGTACAAGATTAATAACTTTGAAAGAATTTTTCTAAAATGTAGTGAGGTATTATGGTTTGTGCGAAAGTTAGAAACTGTGAGATATTGCTTTCTGTCAACTTTGTGGTTCATCTTCGACGCAATTTCGCACAATTTGTTATTTTAATATTTGATATTGGATTCAAGACGAATTGTAAGGGATTTTCCTCGAGGTTTAGTTTAATAAAAAGTGAAACACTATTTTATTTTATAGAGTTGGTAAGTCTATTTCCTTATTGCGAAGCAGAATCGCAACAATGGTGTGTTTATTTTAGCATTCATTAGCTTTTGAAGCAGATGTTTTTCTTTCATTTAAGGTAAGATAACGACTTCTTTGGAGGCTTTGTCGGAAGACTGAAAACATGAAATGTCAAGAAATTAAACAAGAAGTGAAATTTTTTTATTGATTTATAATTTCAACACTCAAGAGGGAACTAAACTTTGTAATATTTTATTTAAAGTCGAAAAAAAGGTAAAACAATTTAATTATTTTAAATAAAATGAGTTAATTTGCCTCTTGTTGAAGGTAATTACATAAAATTTTAAACATAATGGAATTTTGTTCCTAATTAAATATTTTATTAAAAAATTAAATAAAACGAGAGTAAGTAACGACTTTCTGAGCTCAAAGCTAATTACAAGCAAAATTTAATTTTTCATCATAAAATTCTCTACAACCAAAAAATTATTATATTGTAAATTTAAAAATAATTAGAATAAAATTATAGTTATTTTAAGTCTATTATGTTTCTTTCTCAGAAAAGAATAATGAGAAGAAAATTTAGGGTGGGCAAAAAATTTGCAAAAATCTTGACTTTAATCTGAAGGGAAGAAAAACAAAATT